TTTTTAAGAACATTTGACAGTAGTATGATTTTAGACAAATAATATCCAGGTAAAAAGTACAGTAAGAACAACCAGTACATCTCAGTTTTCAAATACTTATTGTTTGTATTTGAAATATTTCACGAGGTTTTTTTTAACCTTTATTGACAATCAACGTAAAATTTGGATTAGTATTTAGAAAAATATTTGTGATTCATGAAACATTTGGAGATAACGAACAATATTCAAGATAAAAAATCCTCAGATCAATACAAAGTAGGAGTAGAGCACACGGACCTCCGAAACATCAGAGATGGGATCGGGTGTCATGAGGGAGTGAGCATCTCCTACCTACCGGTCACCTCCGCCATGTTCTCTATGTCATGATCGGGAAATAATGGGAAAATCCGTTGTCAATTCAGTGTATAAATATATAATGGACTAAGAAATAGTATGCATTTGACTCCACGATAAATTGTATTTGCTGACAAGGTCGTTTTACAGACCATAGAACTTAATACGAAATAATGTCTTTAAACGAGACAGATGATATTCTTTTTTCATCATCTTGTTTGTCAATAATTTACCTCGTTTTAAAAATTGTTCATACACAAAGCATGCTTTTGCGTATCGAATCAACTGAGATATATAAACTCCGTATACAGGTGATGAAGGTATATATTGCTGCATAAGTAAGGGAAGTTGACGATTGAAAAGTTAACTTGACCTCACGTTTATCATAGAGCTTGGTTGTTAGATTACCATTAACGTCTTTTTTTAAGTAAAATATCCAAATATGAAACAGATGTGTAAGACTATGTGGTGTCTTTTACTAGGAATACCTTTTTAAAATATAGAATTTTAAATTGCTTTTCTTAAAAAACCCTCAGAGTGTTTTGATTGGTAACGTCAGGGATTGGCTTTGAGCTATATATTAAAAAAACAATAAAAACATATCAACCCTCTCGCACTGGATACGGTATTATGCCATCTAGAGTCTGTAAATTTAATTATTTACTATAATGTTGCTGGTTTGAATCCCACCGAGGGAAATTGAGACCAGTTTCATTAATGTTACCCTATAAACTGAGGTTCTGTATTTACGTACAAGTTGACATGAAAAGATTAGTAAACTCAATGCACCAATGCAGTAAGTGTTTAATTTAAAACCAATAGTGCAGGTCAGCTCCCACTTGCAATTTGTGGTGATCTAGAATGGGTGAATAATAAAAAAAAAAGATACTTTAATTTTAAGCAAGAAAACAACAGAAACAAAATTGATAGCGTTTGTTGCATTGCAGCCTTGAAATTTCTTAATACCACAAACTAGAACGACTCTGCTTAATATTTCAAAGAGTTCGTATAAGTCATTGATCACACAAAAAGACAGCATTTTCACCAAATGAAGCTCTTGAGCTTGTTTTTTTTTATCAGGATACATCCATTTTGACAATGTTTTTAATTTGTTGGAATAGAAACAAAAATGTCCTTTTTATTCATTTTGTAATTCACTCTAAATGGAACCCAAGTACGCCTTGTTCGAGGGACTTGGTTAGCTAGTAGCTCTTTGTCTTAAAATCTTTAAAAACTGTATCCTATATATATTCACTGTATTCATATAAGCTCTTTGCCTGTTGTTTGCAAAGCATTGAGATATTGTAAACTTGCAAATATTAAAGCCTGAGTAATAATATGTTTCGTTATCACTTGCACAGTGCTCAACATTGTTTTTTTTTTTTATTAACGTATTATTGTTTGTTACCATTCCCGTCTTCCGTCGAACTTTAACTTTGTTAAGTATTTTATAAACTGAAATGGTACTTTTCTAAGATTCAAACTCCAAAAAATTATTTGGAATTCAGACAGATTCTTTTGTGGAATTGTTCTCCTCCTGTTTTAGAAACCATGTGCAATTTCCAGTTAGTTTTAGGAGGAAAATAGAAAAGGTTAATGATCCATAAGTTCAAATCCCTAAGAACTATCTGAATGTATTTGTCTTGTACATTTAAGATCTTTTCCAGCTGAAGTAAAATATTACTTGATGTCGATAACATTATTACTTTATTTTAATGTAATGAGAAAATTAGATGGCAGCATGTATACATTCTGAACACGATTAATTTTACGAAAGTTTTTTCTCAGAGACCGGAAGATAACGCGATGGTAATTTTTTTTTTCGGTTGCAAAAAATCGAAAATTTTACAGTTGAATGATTTTCAGTGGGTAGAAATGATGCAGGTACGGAAAAGGAAAAACACAACGAATTAACCAGTGACACTCCTACTAATGTGTTCGGAACCTTTTATTTTTCGGTGCTCTGCAAATTATAAAACCCGATGAGTTCAGAGTAGCTCTGGCAGTGGCTCTGGCGAGAGTTAGCGAGACTACAGCGAGATAGGGTAAATTATTCACGGAAATGTGGCTAGGAAGTGACTAGCATGTGGAGATGGTACGGTAAACAGAAAAGTTATGTTACGTTTCAGTTTTCACCACCCTATAATATCTGTAGAAATGTACTTCAATCGATCTCTCTTGACCATAATGGCATTCATTCAAACTTAAATAAGTTTTCTCTATGATACAATTTTCTGCAGTCATGAATTAAAATTTCTTTTTGGATAAATATTTTGCATGGGAACTGGAACTATATTTTTGGAGCCAGATTAGCAAATGAGACACCAACATGACTTTAACTGACAAATCAGGTGAATGAGAGTTGCATTATGGGTTACTACGAATACTACAGGAATTTTACGCTTGAAAAAAAAGGAAAATCTTATGGCGATAAGAAAGGCACAAAGACCATTTTCCCATCCATTTCGTATATCTGAAAAGCATTTTCGATTTTTTATAATTCTATTATTTTCATGCTCATAATGACAAACAATTCATTTGTTAAATAAACGATGGAAGTCTAGGTTTCTCAAAGTCATACTGCAAAGCCATTTGCGACTGTATTCATTCCTTTGTTGTACTATCGGTGAATACAATTGTCAGGTAGATCACAAGTATAGTTATGTAAAAGTTTTGTCCATTTAAATGCGTAGGAGATGCTGCTTGCTTTCCTTACCCTTGAAGCGCTGGTGTTTTCAACTTGACACAAGCTACATTTTATTAAACATATTTTTTTAGTTAACAACAAATTAAAAACACCCGTGACATCTTTCTTAGATTCTTATCTTTCTATTTTATTCATAAGAACATTCTTTTTATTATGCTCTCCATTGACATGATCATAGATTGACCTGAACCACGTATTCGAAGTTAAATGTAAACATGTATTTGGTGTAAACGTTGCTATTCATTCAACGATTGGTCAGTTGCTCGTGGTAAGATCGTCTGTGCGCAGTAATAACAAAAGCCATATATGGCAAACAAAGGTTTGTAAGTGTAGATGATATTACACATTTTTACCAGCGTATCGGTCGCTAGTGAGCTCTAATTTTCGCCGTAAATTATGCTGATATATTGTTATTTTAACCCCCTCCCCCTATAGCCACCCTTTTCTGTTGAAAATCATGAAAGTTTTGCAGAAACGTCTTGAAACACATTTTTAACAAGATGTGATTTCAAAAGAAACAGACTATAGCAATTTCCTGTTTACTGCCAATTTTGGTTCTATCCTACAACCTTTGAATAGGTCAACCTAAACCACGTGTCTTAAATTTAAATCACAATAACATTAATAGATGATTTCAACTTGGTAACTAATAAAAAAAAATTACACCTTTCACAGGTATGGTCAATGGCCAAGAAAATATATAAAGTTCTTATCACAGAACTATGATAAACAAGATATATTAAACTTTTATGCACGGTGTTGTCGTGAATACTCAAAATATGTTAAAAGAATTTCTTACCACTTCTCTTTGTTTCTGTAATGAAAAAAATACAATTCCAGAGTAGAACAAACATTGACCTCTAAGACATTGAAAGTGAAATCAAAGGCCATGCTGAATGGTCCTGATTTTGAAAGTTCCAAGTGTTTGTGAAATTTCATATGTACAGGTTTAATATTATTCCAAATTAAAAAAAACAGCACCACAATATTGGGTAAAAATAGAATTAAATGCTGTGATAGTTTACACACACAAGTCAAAGTTGGATTGAGATAGAAAAGTGGGTTAGGTTTAACTTTGAAATGGATAAAATGAAAGGTTGTTGAAATCCCTGTTACCTCAATTTGTCTATCTGCAGTCAGCCTTGATTTAAAACTGATCGTTCTCTTAGGCTTGTGTTTCGAATAAGTTAAAAAAAACATGCACTTCATGTGCAAATGAATGCGGAAACTACTGTTTACATGAGGAAAGTTAACCAATGAAAACTAGTGCCATCTCATCATGCAATTTATTTGTGAGCTGGTCCTTATCGTCTGTAGTCAGTAAAACCTTCTGATATGTAATATGTTACAAACTTTTAAGAATCTTATCTTATATTTCGAATTCACTGGGATATATCGAGACAACATATGAATAGAAACATAAAGAGCTTTTAATTGATAAAAATTCGTCGATATAAAGGACAGAGCAATAGTTTTCTTTTTATATAGAAGGTTTTTTTTGTATCTATCAATGAAATATAAAAACAGACTGGCTTATAAAGGAGAAAAATACACGTGAGGAACTCCAGCATTCTTTAAAATCGAAATTATGATTGGAATATTTTTTTTGGGGGGGGTGATTTTTGGTGACCAATCATAAGATATAAAAATTTTCAATTTCCGGTTTTGTTCAGTACAAAGCTCTTCTCCTGAAAATCAAGAATAGCATCTGATTTACACCACTCTAAGAACACGTGATAGCACAGTGCGTCTGAAGTTTCTCTCTTCAAGCAGTTAATATTGTTGTAAATTAGTGTAAAGAAAGGGGATTGGTTTAGAATTTGCTTAATTCGGTAATATTTCTTTGTTTCAAGTTAAGATTTTTATGAAGTTGAAGAAACGAGATATATGCAGGATACATTAAACTCGCCTTTCTTTACCCGATTGTTAATAATGTAATATTTAAGATGTTATTTTGCAGGATTGAAAAATTTTCAACATCATCTTTCGGATTTGCAAAAAAAGTTCATCTTTGGTTTACAAGACCATGTGACACCCATTCCTGGAAGCGTCAATGCAACAGTGGAGGTCTTAGTTTGGACAGACCTTTCATACATTAGCTCCTTTCATCAACTCGTTCACCATCCTCATGTGGAAACAGATATTTTGAAGTATGTCGCTACAGTGGTGCACGCGGTTAGTTTTTGTTTGTTTGATTTTTTTTTATATTCTACTCTTACAATTCGATGCAAGTCTTGATGTTATGCTGAATTTGTAATTTGAGCACATTTCTTTCAGTTAGAAAGGGTTTGCCTTCGGAAAATTTAATTAATCAGACTTGAGGACACAGTCAAATTAATAAAAGCCAAATCTAACAATGAAATATGCAAAAGGCGCTTCGCAACATTTTAAAGGAAGCTGATCCTCATTATTTTCAATACGTTGTCTCATTACACATTACTATTGCTTATTATAAATTATTAAAAATAAATTTTTTCATTTTTTAAACAATAGGGAAATGAAATGTTTCGCAATGGAATAAAAGATCCATCTTTGAATATATCGGTATTCCTAACGGGAGCTGTAATCTGCAAGGTAAATTTAAGCTGATACTTAGATATAAATATAAACATATCTCAATGTTTTTCCTCATTATTGTTGAAAGAACAATATTTTTCCTATTGTAGTCCGCAGATTGCAGTAAATTTACCTCAAGTTTAGTTCAAAATGGAACTGTAGAAAACCACAAGGCTTTGGACTTGTTTGCGGAGACACTGGCGACAACCTATGGTAACCACACACTCATGTTCCACTATGATTATGCAGTTGCCTTCACTCGGTAAATTAGTAGTTTTATTAACTAACAAGACACCAAGTGACATTTATATTTCTCAGTAAAGATTATTTTATTCAGGCAGCCTCGTAAATACTTTTTTACAATCAAAAGCGAGCTGTGCTTTTCATTGCTATGAAATTATTACCTTTTCTGGTCTCTTACTAGAGTCATGTTATTGACACAATTTGTTAGCGTTATAATCATATACATATTGCGCATCGATGATTATGCCAACTTTCATTTCAAAAGCAAACAGCAAACAGGATATCTGTTCAGTTGATATAAAGTTTTTCATCATCAATGACAAAATAGGTCCGTCCCCTTGATACAAAGACTAAGTATGGTGGCGCTAATCAGATTTGGTTGACACTGATTGATGAAGACTTGGAATTCCAGTGGCAAGCAAATGCCCGCCGTCCATTCACATACAGCTGAAGACGGAGGATTGCGAGTGAATTGTCTGTAAATTAAGCCATGTATAGCCGATATAATTGAGTTTTAATATGTATCATACTGACATAGATAGATAATGTGAATTGTTTCGATTTTCGTGACTTGGGAAATAAAACAGTTTCAAGAAAAAATCAGAAAAAAAAACATCGATTGAATTAGTCTGTATCCCAGAATCTCTTCTGTTGTATTAATACACTTGAAGATCAGACACGCGTATGCACATATTGATACTTTCTCTAGATGTAAATTACTCCTAAGATGTTATTTTGAATCCTTTTTTTAATTTCACAGACTGGAAATTAAAAAAAAAAATAATTCTGAGAATAATAAATTTGCGATATTACTTACTGAATATCATAACAACATATGTAATCAAGAACTGATGTAAAACAAATATTCACATAGGATCTTGTTTGTTCCTGTTCAATTAAAAAAAAATGATTTCAAATCTAAGTTTTTGGTGACGTTGTAATAAATATCCTTTGAACTTTTGGTGACTGCATACCTATTAAAATTCATGGTATATGAGTAATATCTTCTCTAGATGATGCATATTTGCGGCATAAACTGCGTCATATTAATATATTATTTGCATATACTGAAAATTTCTTCAAAACATGACAAAACACTGCTAAAGTCGTTTTCAATATTTTGTATACAGCTCAACCTCTGATCAGAAATTTACAATATGATAGTTTAAGAAGGTTTGTTAAAAAAGTTTATTACTTTGCAGAAGGTTCGAGAATACACTTGTTACATTACAATTTGATAAAATATATTTTCTAATACCTAGACTCTCAAGAAAAAATCATGATCAAAGAAAAAAACTTGAGTCAATATTCTTTATATTGATGTTTGAAATTGGACAAAAGGTATCAGTCAATTTATTGATATATGGGCTGGGGTTTTGTCCATTTCATGAATAAGTTAGCTCTTTTAGTTCTTTATTCATTTTCAAAATAATTTTATAATTACAATGTATATCTTTGGTGGCATATTTCTGCCCCCTACATGCAAGATAAATTATGTAAACATGCCACATGCTTATGTTGACATAAATAAGTCGCATGTCTACATATTTATGTTAGATCTTACATCTACAGTGTCAGATACGGGCATTAGTAAGTAAATTTAAATACATTTAAATTATATTTTCTTATTAGATTGAAAACTTGCATGTCAACATAATTTACTTGCATGTTGGCATAAATATGTTGCATGTCTACATAATTATGTTGCATGTTAACATGATTTATCTTGCATGTAAGGGGCAGAAATACACTTGCCACAATATATATCTAATAACAAAGACCAATAAATGTAGAAATCTACAAATATGAAATGAGTTTTATATTTAAAAAAGTTTTAAATATATAATATTCGATGGGATCTTTGTTTGTCTGCGTTGATCTAGGAAAGGGGGTGAGGTGGTATTTAAAGTAAACAGCTTTGTTTCAATAAATATGGTGCTTTGAACTGCAATTTGCAATACAATTTGAGCGGGTGTCATATAATATATTTGTCAAGCAGATGTTTTTCAAAACACCATGATCACTGAAAAAATGTTTATTTTGGAATCAGTGTTCTGGAATATCAATGTAACAGTTTATTATGAAAGTGAACCAATCACTGCAAGTTCACGCTTTAATGTGATGTAAACAGGATTTTAAAGGCGAGTCTAGAAAAGCCGTTGACCAGGAAAGCCTAGCGCTGGACATCAGTAAATCAGAAGAGTGATTACTGTATTTCAGTCCATTGACAAATTACCAGTGGAAATAGGAAATCAATGTAGAACTGAACCCGACCAGTTCTGCGATCGCTGTAGAAGAAACGTATGCAGGAACATAACTTCCGGAAATCATTTTTGAACTTGCAATTAGGTTTCAAAACTCCTGTTTAGTACATGAAATAACCACAAAATACTTAACATATTTTTATTTTACAGATACGATTTAGTTGATGTAAGCGGTACACCGATTGGTGAGTTATTTAAGGAATCACTGTCTAGTTAGGAGGGTATGTCAGGGCATTAACACTAGTGGGAAACATGGGATAATTTGCATAACAGTGATTCCTTATATTTCCATTTCATTGTGAAATAAAATTGTAGATTTAGACTTTAAAAATATAGATAAATAGATTTAAATCACATGATGACTTCCATGCCAATTTCAATAGTCCTCGCCAACCGACGTCAAACACAAAGGCAGCCGCACGAGATTTACATGCATATTTGGCCTCCTTAGCGTCAGACACAGAGACAGATGCGCACGAGAATTGCATGCGTATTAGGCCTCCTTAGCTCCCGACCTATCGACCTGCCTAATTTACATTCCGGCAGAATTATCAAGAGATAAACTACCCCTAACTTTCAAAGAGTTATCACAGAGAAAAAAAATTAGAAATGGAAATATTTTAAATTTAGTGCATTTTGTTGACTACACTCATCCTGTTAATCTTATATTAGACTTCCGGGCTCTTAATACTTAAGAAAAGTAGCAATTTTGTTGTGCATTTATGAAAAATATTCAAAATGTACCCCAAACAATTCAGAAAGAAACCGAAAACGAGAACAGGGAGTAATACTACTGCTGTATAAGGGATCAAGTTTACTTAACTGAAACATCAAAATACGGTTGTCTAATGAATCGCAATTTATATTAAATATCTAAATATACATGTACGGTTTTATGATTTGAAGAAAAACAAGGTAATCTTAAAACGGAAAAACAAAAGGTAGCTTCATGAGATGTAAAAAAAAAATACATACATGTATTCGGAAAATTCCGAAAATTGGACAGGTATATAAGTATATATAATTTTATTGATGATGAAATATACCATATGTAAACAGTAACGGAAAAAGTCAATGTATTCAGAAGTTCATTCTTTTAAATTTGTCTACAGTACCTTGTTCTTTGTTCTGCTTTTTTTTTGTTAGTGCAATGACACCATGCTCCCTAATGTAATTTACAGGATACTTTGATGGATTGCAAATTACCAGGACAATTTGTCGACAGAAAGTGGCGATTTCAAATAGGCTGTCGAAAAAAAAAATCCATTCAGTAACAATGAAATCTGTAACGATAGACGAGATATCAATTTGCAAAACAATGGACTTCTCCTCGGAATAAAGGTTCAAAAATTGACAAAGCTCCCTGACAGCATTTCTTTCATATAGATCCAGTAAAATTGGGAACACCCCTGAGGCAATGTAATACGTGCGAAATACACATTTTATCCAAAAGGATGAAATATCGTTCGATTCCAATTATTATATCTCCCAAATATAACTTGTATTTCTGGTCTGTTGCAATTTAATTGGCATAAAATGCTTGATGCCTCAATATTAAAAAGCATATTGACTTAAAATACAGGGTATTGATTTAAAAAATGATGTTATTTTTCATACATTGCTTTCCTTTTATATACCTGGTAATACTTTTTAGGAATATTTTCTGTTAGCAAACTCCTAAAATTCCTAAAGAAGACAAGGAGTTATGGAAATTATTCAGAAAAAAATCAAAATCTCGCCACACTTTTACATGTGTCATTAGGAAAACTACAAGAGTACAGAATCTTTCAAAATTGACGTCTTTTTTAAAAAAAGATTTTAAAAAATGTTCTGAAAAAAAATGAAAAAAAATAAAAATAAATAAATAAAATTCTTTTTCTCCCGTTATTTTGTCAGCAACAAATATAATGAAATTAAAACTTTCTTGTTTTTATTGTAAAGAAATTTGTAGACATATACATAATACATAAATAGGATTCTTGTTTTTTTTTTTCATCAGGTGTTTCTTTTACTGATGATATTTGTTCAATAAAAAACGGAAAATCATCCTCAATCATTGAAGATCAAGGTGGCTTTACTTGTATAGGGACTTTTGTTCATGAAATGGCCCACACGTGAGTATCATACTCTTTCTATGGACATTCAATCACGATCAATTGGTTCATTAGAATTGGAACAATCCCTTATGGACAAATCCAAGAGTCAATTAATTTCATCAATAATATTAGTTCATAAACACATCTTCACACGAGCAATGTGTTAACATATAGGATATTAGATGTATTTCGAACTGCTTGGAATTGATATCACACAAGCCTCTATGAATAAAATATTGGAGATAACGAACAGCATTCAAGCTCAAAAGTTCATTAAACAATACAGATTTTGAAGCAGAGCAAAGACGGACCTTATACATCAGAGGTTGGATCAGGTTCCACAGAGGAGTGAGCATCTCCTGCCGACCGATTACTACCGTTTAGTTCTGATCAGCTTTGGATTTTAAAAGTAGATGGTGTACCTGAAGGTTTTTGAAACCGCTATCTTTTTTCAAACATACTTTGTGAAAATATTACTTAAAACAACATGTTGGTTAAAAGAGACCCTGGAAAGCGTTCTTAGAATGTCATGCCTTAAAACAACTGACTGTATTATATTCATAATATCTTATTAAAAAATTAAACAGATAGGATACGTGACGTATGACCCTATTAAGTGTACATTTAATGATTATTTTCTTTTTGCAAATTTTTTGATTATCTAAAAATATTTTCCTTTAATACATATACATTATGTATAAATGTATACTAAATGTATGTTAAAATGTATGTTTTTTCATTCATTCAATACAGATATAATTTAATATCAAAATTTGATACTTGATTTTAGTGTATGAGGTTTCAAATTTCTGTACATTTGATTTTTTAAGAGGATAATAATGAACAAATTTTAAGCTTGTTATCCATTTAAACAATGCAAATCGGGAGCAAACCAATAAAGGACCTTCATGAACATTAGAGGAAAGGTCAAATGCTATATATTTTAAAATAACGTCACGTGGAGAAAGCATCCCTTGTTGATCGGTCACACAAGTTATAATCAGATGACTTTTATTTCAGTCGAAAATTTATCATATATCAAAACGTGTATGAAAAACGTGTTTTGTTAATTGTTTGACATTTAGTTCCTGGAGGCGAATATAGTGGGTGAATGAAACTTCATTTAGAAACATTTTAATCATTGTACTGAAGTGCTGAAAGACGGAGGTTTTTTATGCTTCGTTTCTAACTCGACATTTTAATCTTTATTAAACACTACCAAGGTCCATACAAATAAATGTCTCGTACTTACAGCTGCGGCAATCATCTGGGAGACAATAAATACATTTAGTACAAATTGATAATTGTACTGTAACTTATTTGTTTATCCCTTTAAACGTCAATTTGGCACATTTCCTACAAAAAGCGAATTTTCTTTTTTTATTTTAGTGTACTCTTATGTCTGTATGTGTTAATTATCGCGCTTTAATGGACACATTATGTTCTGCATGATTTATTGAAAGCCATTTATTTCAGAATTAATGCTGCATCCTTTCATTAAGTTCTGTAAGAATAGGTACTGAAACATCTAATCAAATTTAGAAAGACGTTTATATATCTTTCTTCTTTATAACCATCGTTACGTGTTGTTTTTGAAGGTAGTGAATTATTGATTATAAATTGCCTAATGAATATTGATTGAATTCTTCTTGTCAGGACAAAGGCATTTCTAAATAGTATTAGTGACCTTGAAAGTATGACACACCTAACTAATACAAAGTTACCTTACCAGTTTTAAATTTTATATATATATCCTATCTGGTATATGTAACCCAATTATATAATTTAATTTGTATATGATACCTTACCTGTTTGAGATAATAGTATATTGAGGATCAGGGGCAATATATTTTAGCTTTTCTTATTTTACCTGTTCTATCAAATACCTTGAATGGTTTTATGGATATCAATGAAAATTTTAAATCAACCTAAATGCATTTGAACAAGTTCTAAAATGTTGCTAGCTATTGACAAAAAAGTTGATGAACTAAGTATATCAACAGTCTTCTTTGAAGTCATTATTTCGCAAGGTCTATCAAGTTCTATGTCGTTAAAATGATCCTGTCAGGTAATAAATCTACATGTATCATTTCATTACTTAAGGAATGAAGTTTATTTTAACCTTTGTAACGATATATCATAAACTGGAGCAGTTTACGTTTCATTATAAACAGCTTTGCAGTACAATAAGCAATTTTTCTTCCAAAAATGGCTTCAAACTGAGCATATTTTAAAAGTAACGTCAAGTGGAGCAATATGTTTTTGACGTAACTCATTGTGACGTAGACAACTTATGTTATACGATATAGAAGGATATGGAAATAACGAACAGTATTCAATCTCAACGTCCATTAAACAATATACAAAATAAGAGCAGAGCAAACACGGACCTCCAAAACATCAGAGGTGGGATCAGGTGCCATGGAGGAGTGAGCATCCCCTGCCGACCGGTCACACCCGCCGTGTGCTCGTTGTCATAATCAGGAAATAACGGGAAAAATCCGTCGTCAATTCAGTGTTTAATGGACTAACAATTGGTATGAAAAACGTCAATTCAATGATAAATTGTATTTGCTGACAAGGTCATTGTATCGACCATAGAATTTACGAAATGATGACTTTGAGACTGTTGATATTCTTGTTTCATCAACTTGCTTGTCAATAATTTACCTCGTTTAAGAAATTGTTCATACGTAGAGCATGCTCTTGCGTATCGAATCAACTGAGATATATATACTCCGTGTGCAGGTGATGAAGGTATATTGCTGCATAAGTAAGGGAAGTTGACGATAGAAAAGTTAAAGTCATCACGTTTATCATATAGCTTGGTTGTTAGATTACCATTAGTGTCTTTTTCAAGTAAAATATCGAAGTAAGAAGCAGAAGTGTCGGACTCTGTGTTATCTTTTATCTCAAGCTCACCAGGATATATCGTGTCGACGTAGGAATGGAAATTACCATTATTAATTGACAATACATCGTCGATATATCTAAATGTCGAGTTGAAGGCCACAACCATATATATATAGATATAGATTAAGGTCAAGATCTAGTAAATGACTTGAGACTAATTTTTTGGTGCTAGATCCATTATGACGTCATAATCAATTTCAACTTTCTTTTTCCCGTACTTTACGGCTTTATCAAAATTATGAAGAAAATAGAGTATTTTCATAACATTCAGTTAGAAATCATATGAAAAGTAAACTGGATACCTATATTTAATTTGATATTATTTTAAAGAAGAGGCCATGAGTATACAAATGATCGTTTTCTGAGAGACTGTAGGCTATCTGGATACATTTCCTTTGCCGAATATAAAAAAAACTCCCATATTCATGACTGGTTTTCTTAATTTTCTTTGAAAATGACAGTTTAAAATAATTATGGTTTTTCATCTTGTTTACCTACAAATTATGCCCACCTTATTCGACCAAGCTAAAGTTATACACCCTCAATAAAGGAATTTATTTCTCAAATTTGATAAATCTGTAGGCACCTTTCATTTACTATATCTTGACTTAAACCTTTATCCAATCAAATGACGTATTACAACCAAAAAAGAAATTATTGCCAATTGTTAGATCATTATCTAAACACTTAGTTGTATACGGAGATTTTGTTTTTCCCGATCATGACAAGGGGCTGATGTTGGATGTCACCGGTTGGCAAGAGGTTCTTCCATTGCACCAGATCTCACTTCTGGTGCTCTAGAGGCGATTGCGTTGATCCTCATTGTATTGTTTCGATGGACTTTTGAGATTTAATACTGTTAGTTATTTCCATATTTTAATGAAGCATATTTTTTCCCTCTCAAATCCACTCTGATTATTTTTGTCTCTTTGAACAATACACGTACGTGTACAAATTTCAAATATTTTCTTCGCAAACTTTATTTGAAATATTTTAAAAGGAAATAATGTTGATCTAAAGTCATAATTGTAAATTTCATTTTAATCAAGTTACTTAATAATTCATATTTCCATTTCTGTTGAATGTACTCGTATATTACCCGATGAAATCACATCCAGTGATGTAAGTAATGGCTATGAAAACTGTTTATCTGAATATTTCCTTTTAATTACCTTTAGTTTAGGATCAGATCACGATGGTTGGTTCCGTGGACAGGAGTGCGATCCTAACAATGGTTATATCATGGATGCCGTGTCTCCGCTTACCACCAATGCCTTCTATTTCTCTCAATGCACGATCAACTCCATAAAGACAAACCTATTGTAAGTTTCTTTTTGGGTTGTATTGTATTTCATTTATTTTATTAACATAAAAGTGTGTTTTGAAATATGTATTGCTTCGATAAAACAAGTCGTTGTTAGTCATCTATATACCAACAATTGCTGTATAATTCTGAGTGTTTGTGCATCAAATTTATCGGAGGATGTTGTCTAATGTAGTTTGAAACAAATCTCTGTCTAGAATTGTATGCAATTGTTTGGAAGAGAACATATCTGTAAATATCAGTTAACAAATCATGATATTCAGCGAGAACGAAAAAGGAGAAATTAAAAAGCAATCTCACCATGACTTTGGAGTTTTGTTTTTTTAATTTATTTACGATACTTGAAAATTTTAAAAATGCATTACGGTCATCAGCTTTCCAAGAAATGTCATTGATATTAGTTTTTATAATGCAATACAAAAAGTAACGAATAAATTTGAAAAAAATACTTTGTCAAAAGAAGCAAGAAATTGGTTATAGAAAAAAAAAAAGAAAACAGTGTGAATTTGGCAACCACCATGAAGCAGACATTGAAGTTGAGCAAGATGTACACATCTTTGCCAAATGAATTTAAGTAAAATGCAATTAAAAAGGGAACTTGGGGTGAAGGTTATAAGTCGTAAATTATGCATGGGTATGCATTTAAATTGCATGGCTATATCTTAACTTACTAAAAAGAGGAAATGCGTAAATTGACATGTTCTGCAGTAAAGACAAAATGCCCTACAACCAAGGTTATAAAACAATGCAATTATATGGGAGCTGCTAAAGAACAGACATAAAACAACTTTGAATTAAACTCTAGGGTGCAACCAAAGTAAATTTTCTTGGGATATAAAAATTCTAACCGAGAAAAAAAAAGAATACTTAACCTAAATATTAGTCTTCTAGTTTGTACTACTTCATGCTATGAGGTGAACTTCTACTTGTGCATATGAAATTAAATATATGGAAGTCCTAAAAACAAATTTTAATTCACAATTCTCAAAGACGATAGTATAATCCAAAATAAAAAGGAAAAAAAGTCTGCTGTTACAAACATTAGCGTATGTCTCATTAAACTGCTCCAAACGAAGCAATAGAGAAGTTGAAAAATGAAAGTAAAAACTATGCAGATTATTATTCAATGAGTTTCTGGTTGACAATAATTTATGATGCAGAGTTTATACAACAAACAATAACATTAAAAGAAAACATATCTTGCGGCGGACCTTGAATTCAACATTTAAAGAGATGTATACACGACATGTATAAATTTTAATGTTATTCCTTCATTTATTTATTTATTCTTTTGAACAAGATATAAAAGATACCAAAGGGTCTGAGACATCTGTTTCAAATTTGGATATTTTTCTTTCAAAAAACTATTAATGGCAAATTACCAACAAAACCCTATGATAAACATGATAAGTTCAACTTATTTATGTACGAACAATTACTATCATTACCTGCATATGAAATGTCATCATTAGTGAATTCCACATACAAGAATATGCTCTATGTAGGAGCCACTTCTAAAAGAAGTCAAATAATTGACAAAGAGTATCAACAATGGCCTTGTAAGCAAACACAATCTATGGTTAAATGGAATTTTGACTTACCGTAATTGTATAAATATTAAGTATTATTTTTACAATGAATTGTCGACGGATATTTCCGTTTGTCTGATCATGTCAAAGAGCAACATCGATTTTTTTATGGCTTGGCGATTGTTACTATTTTTAAAGGTATAACAATAAGTATTATTTTTACAATGAATTGTCGACGGATATTTCCCTTTGTCCGATCATTTCAAAGAGCACTTGGCGATTGTTACTGATCGTCGGGGAATGCTTAATCATCAACTGCACCTGATCCCCTCTCTGATGTATTTAGAGATTCATGTTTGCTCTATTCTCAAATTTGTATTACTAGTTTTTCATTAGACTTCTTTTACCTTGATACACTGTAACTGTTTTTATCTCCGTATTTCATGGCTTATCTGAACAATGTCAATGCAGAATGATCACATAATGCCAACTTTTTTTTATATTGCTAAAGAAAAGAACTGTTTCTTGTTAAGCTATGTTTCTGTTCATGTGGCAGTGGTGGTAATTTTGTTAAAAAAATAAATAAATAAATAAATAAAGTCGACTATACAACTACATGTACGAATGTTGAAATGTTTTGTAAAGTTTTGTTTAATTTGACTAAGCTAGTATTCACATTGATAAGCAACTTCATAGAGCTCTCTTAACCTAGCTCAAAGTATGGTGCTGCTTTTATTATCGGGAACAACTGTAACATTAAGAATATCCGCACGTTGTTAATTTAAAATCAACGTAGTCATATATGGCAAAGAGTGGGAATTGTTGAGCTTGTGGTTTTATAGAATTTGCTGTTAGGAGAGGCGGAAAAAAGAATAGTGTTCTCAGAAAAAAGAGGAGTGGAAGGAAGTGTTAACTATACAATAAATATACAATAAATGTAACAAAATCCTATTGTTTAATTACTCATAGGAAATCACACCTTGATTCCTTATTTGTACAAAAAATTATATGGAAATTATTCGGTTAATTAATTTTGTAATAATTTGTTCTTGTGTATAACAAATCCATTTTTGTAAAGTTCAAAATACCATAGGTTATATTTGGTTGACAACCGAGAAGAACATAAAAAAAAATATAATATTGAAACTACGATTAGATATTTACTTTAAAAAAGAGCAAGAGTTCAATACAAAGATAATGAAAAATGATCTATCTAAAAAACTATTTTTAATACAAATATGTTAAAAGGGCATAAAACATGAACCTATGTCAAATTCCTGAGGTAGGATCAGGTGCCTAGGAGGAGTAGACATCCCCTGTGTAACGATCCCACTCGCCTTGAGGTCTATGTATTGTTCAGGTAGGCGGAACTTTCTGTGGTCAAATTCAGTATAAAAACAAAGGATATTTGTTCACATTTTGGGTTTCTAATCTGTTATAAGGCTGTAGAAGTATTAAATGTTTTACATAGCATTTAAATTCTCTCAAAGAAGACTGCAAAATGAGCATGATATTGCTGAGGACAAACATGATGATTCAGGTCCTGATGTCACTCAAGAGAGTATTTTTATCTATGAGCTTCTGGCCATTTTTAAACATCTTACATCTTAATTCTCTCATTTTAATACATTTATGTTTCACGAGGGAAATTATCTTTAATTATCACAACTTTACTGCCTTCAAAAGAAACTGATTTCAACCTTACCTTCTGTGTAAATTCATTATCTGTCTCGGGAGTCTTTAGTTTTTCTGATCTTTATGCCTTTCGATGAAGTTTTCGGATTAATTAAAGTCTCACTCTACAAGTAATTAATTTCTTGATGGAAATCTAGCGTCCTCTCAGAACTTACTCCCATTTCTGTTTAAAATCGCCATACAGCAATCAGACTTCAATCAAACTAAGAAAACATCGTTTTTTTCTCCTAAATTCTTTTTATTATCTTAATATCTTGATTTCTACGTAAAGATTTGCATGAAAAAATTGTTTTACATAACATGATATTCCTCTTGCAATTTTGACTTGATTTAAATATTTTTCCTGGACTATTTCATTTCTATATCTTGAAATTTTTACAGCTAAAACATACTCAATTAACTTTATTTCAGAATCTTGTTTAAAAATAAGCTCACAAAGAACTTTATTCGGTAATAACCAATATTTGCCCCCAAAAATCAAACTTTAACGGAGAAATATTTCATTATGTTCTTAAACAGGGGAATATATTCTGACTTCAAAACACTGAATATTTTCAATAGCAATGACGTCATATGTTTGAAATGACGTCACGAAAATGACGTAATTTTAAAATTTCCATTATTTGTACAGAAAAATGTATATTTTACGTCGATATTTTGAGTAAACTCACCGAGCGCAGATCTGATCAGGCTCAATATTTTGATGTTATGTGTAGAATGATAATATCAATGAAATATGTAAATATTGTTCCTGAGCAAACTTGTGCTCTATAAACTTTAAAGCTAAAATTGTTGAAATTTTGTCCAGTTTGTCTTCTTTCTAAAACATGATGTAAAATCGAACTAGTTTGCGACGTCATTAGAACAAAAATTTTTAATAAACTACTTTGAAACTATAATATGATCTGTTAATTCATATTTCTCATACAATTTATAAAGTTCAGCACATTTCAAGAATTTTTCAAATTTGATTTTGTTGGGGCAAGATATGCAATATACAGTATATAGTTCTTTTAAAGCCTATATATTTTTAAGATCTTCTTTAGTATTTTCATTAAGAAAGCAGAGTTAAAACTAACCTAAATATACTCATATGGCAACATTTTTATAAAGAATTGTAGACATTTATCCTTATTTTCAATAATATGGAACATACTAACAGGGGGTATCATTAAAGGTTTCATTAATCATAGACAGGAAATAAATTGTAGAAGTATCGGGAAAAGAAACCTGTCAATAGCTACAAAAAATAATGATGTGTACCGCCTAAAACCCATATCATAGATAGCAACTGTAGTGAGGAAAACTTTATGAAAAGGTCAAGAATGAGTCTGAATATTCACACCCAATAATAAGAAAAAAAACCTCTTTTTCAGATATCGAAGAAACTGTATATGTTTTGTTTCCAATGATTTCACTTGATTCCGTTCTTATTGCGAGAGACAAAAGACAAATTCTTCAAAATATGTTTTTCCTTTATTTTACTTATCAAAATGGATTATAACATTTCATCGATTTTGAAATTTTACAAGCTATTGTGTTTTCATATTGTAGAAGACCCGAAGCCTCGTGTGTTCTAGATAAGCCGCGAGTAAACCATCATTATGAGGCATTGACTAAAGATGCTCCTGGACAAATCTACAACGTCTCGGAACAGTGTCATCAGATTTATGGGACGTCTTTTTGTTTGGTAAAAACATTTATCTGAAAAAAGAAAATTCAAGCTAGCTTTAGAAATAATTGATTTAATTCGAAACTAGAAATTGTTTCAAACGTGATTTTAACTCAATGCACACAATCCAATCCATCATTTTTCTTATTTAATGATAACTTTCTTTGATTTGATCATCTTCATCAAGTCAGGGGTTGCTTAAGACCAGAAATAATTAAAGCAAAAAAACATATACAAAAGATTCTCTTTCTTCAAATCGGCATCATGATATATATATTTTTGTTCTCTTGATTCAATTAATTTCGAAAATATTATTCCAACTTATCTGACAAAGCAAAATTGATGAATTTTTTCGCCATTTCTTGTCATATTTTCTGTAACAAACCTTATTAAGACGTTTTATGTGGAAATTACAGAAGCTGTGAGTGATGCAGTCGGCTTGCTCTATTCTTTACAAACAGACGCAGTTAATATTGTGTCAACTTTTCCTTCAAACGGAAATTAATTTTGCAGAAAAAAATATTTCAAAAGGAAAATTCAATAAAGAAAACGTCGGTTGACACACGAAGAACATATTATGAGTATTAAATTAAAAACGAAAATCGAAAAAAAAAGTTGAAAGGTCTTCTATGCTAAAATTCCTTTACATGTAAGTGTTTGGCTATTCATGAGATTTAAAATGGTTCTATGTATAGCTTTACTAAGATTTTTTACGAAAATGTTATCAAAGTAGACTGTTTCATTTAATAACAGTTTTATAATGAGAAAAAAAACCTCAGTTTACTGCCTTAGTATAATACAAATATGAATTCTACATTGATTATGCAAAAATTGACTTTTCTTTTCAATATTTTAGACACTTGATCCCACTAAGTCTGGAGTGAACTTGATTAGAGTTTTATCAGACTCCGGTGAACTCTTAGATTTGTATATTGTCTCTTTACTTCATCAGAGCGTAGGGACGACACTGGAAGACATTTGCCACAAAATGTACTGCTGGGATCCAATACTCTCCAACGTGTGCTCAACTAAGTCTGCTGCCGCCCCTGGAACGTCTTGTGGACATAAAAAGGTGATTTCTGAAGAAAGTTAATTATGGTACTTACTAATGCTAAGAATTGTGTAAGTGTCGCAATTGACATATAAAATAAGAGTCTACTTTAAATTAGATTTCAGATTTTGAAGATTAAATCGATGCAAATTACATTGCATTCGGATTACTTTTGACATGAACCTAGTTTTCCTTTTCATGATCTGGTAAAAGTAAAAAAAAAAAATTAATTTTGTATGCAAATGATGGCCTAACTATTTGTATGAAAGATATTACTCAATATTTAACCCAAAGTTGACACGATATTTTCAAACAATGTCAATGTTAGTATAACGAACATAATTATATGTATTACTTAACTATATTACTAGTAATTTTAGAAACGTCGACTTTAAATGAAATTTTTGATATCCATGTATCAGCCATTTATTTGACACAAGCCTTTCTCGTTCTAGTGTGATACGTTTAACATGCCTTTGCATACTGAATCAACTGAATGACATGTACTCAGTATATGTGAGTGATAATGCATAATGCATTTTAAAGTTTGCCATCAGTAACTCACTTTAGTAATGAAGGATATGGGAAAAAAATAAATTCAAGTATAAAGCAAATGTGCCAGATCTATTTAAACTCCGTGGTGTCTTTTATTTAGGTCAAAGTAAGAGACTTCTTTTTAATCAAAAGTTTTTTTTAAAATTAATTCTGCTTCATAAGAATAAAATAAGGTTTGCTAATAATTCAGCACAATCCACGAAATTTCAACAGACTGGTGAAAGATTCTCAGATTATTTGTGTTGAGAATCAGATTATTTTTATCTAAAAATTTTTACCAGTGATAAGGTACTACAGTGTAGTATGAAATGGTGGAAATACTAGTAATAAACAGTGATTTATCTCAAGAAACCTTTCTTTAATTTACTCCTCACTACGACATTAACAGTAGTGAAGGAGAAACGTCAAGAGAACTTTCAACAATATATTCGAGAAGTGTTGTAAATCAGATGTGGATTCTAAAAAATTCAAAGGAACTTTTGGTACATTTGAAATCACAATTTTTTTCTAAAATCAGCAACATAAAATCTTCATATGCTAACAACTATTCCCCGCGATAAACTAAATGCCTTCTGACATCATTGACAGCAGCTTTTTCAATAAAAATAGAACTTGGAAATACCTCGTCATTGTCATTTGCAAAATTGCTTTGTTAAAAACCCATTCTGATTGTACTCACAAGCACTCTGAAGTTGATATAAAAAGATGCTCGAGTTTCTGATTGACAATATCTATGTGGTATTTGGAGACCAGGTTTTCAAACAATCTATTGGAATTCCCAAGGGTACCAATGCGTCCCATTATAAGCAAACCTATTTTTCTATTCATATCAAGCAGAAATTGTTCAAAATCTTTGACGTAAAAAGAAAAAAAAACACTTCGTGTGGCCTTCAACTCGACATTTAGATATATCGACGACGTATTGTCAGTTAACAATTTTAGTTCTTTCCATTCTTATGTCTACACGATATACCCCGGTGAGCCTGAGATAAAAGATACCACCGAGTCCGACAAATCTGTTTCATATTTGGATATTTTACTTGAAAAAGACGTTAATGGTAATCTAACACCCAAGCTCTATGATAAACATGATGACTTAAACTTTACAATCGTCAACTTCCCTTACTTATGCAGCAATATACCTTCATCACCTGCATACAGAGTTTATATATCTCAGATTCGATACGCAAGAGTATGCTCTACGTATGAACAATTTCTAAAACGAGGTTTATAAATTAACAATTTATATAAAAAAAGCCTTACAAACGAAGACAATGTTGTTACTTGCTTTGTCAGCAGGGACCAGTACGAGAACTATGTATTGATCAGGCATATAAATATTTTGCTTAATAAATAGAGAATAATATATACCCTTTTCCATATCACATCCTGTATCAGCCCGAGACACCAATATCAGCCAGAGGGCCGAAGGCCCGAGGGCTGATATTGGTCGCGGGCTGATACAGGATTTGATGTGGAAAAGGGTATGTATCAATATGTTTATTACATACTTAGTAATAAAATACAGCATACATTAAGTTGAGAAGAAAATAAGTAAATAATCATGCATGGACTTCTTACATATATACATGTACATTGTCTATTGTCTCATACGATTTGGGTTTGTTTCTACTTCTATTTCAATGCTCTCGATCCTAATTTGAAAATAATCTATTACATGTATTTGTAAATTATGGTTAATCTTATTTTCAAAAAGTTAAAATTAAGAGAATATGAACCCACCACACTATGATCACAAGTACTGTTTTTGTTGTTAAATTTACTAAGGGTGTGATATTGACGTCACAATAGCCGTATCAGCCCTGCAAATCCGTATCAGCCCTGCAGGGCTGATACAGCTATTGCGACGTCAGCCATATCGCATATGCAAAAAAACCTGTATTTATTACTAGTGTGTAATAATAGCTAATAAAGGAGTGTTCGTCTTTATTCTTATAGTTTGTCAGAAGACCATCTCGGAAGACTTTATAAATGTAGTAATTTAAAATACTAGTATATCTGTAAAAAGTAATATAAGTAATATAATATGTAGAGCATTTGCTTTCTGCAATGTACCGGGTATTTCTCTTTCTAATGATTTTTATGAAGCTTAGTAATCCTATATACATATAGATAGAAATTACGTAGGTTGGTTGGAATGTTAAAAGTTTTAAATAGTGAAATATGATTTTGAAGTATTTCTTGAGAAATCAAAATTGCCTTTTTAAGTAAGATGTCTAGACGTAGAATTAAAAGGAAGCTTTTCTGATAATGGTCTTTGCAAACAAAGACGATATTGTTACATGTACCAGCTTCATTGGCCTGAAGAATAACATACTGGTATTGTTTATGTTGTCTCTAATTCTTTGAATGACTTTGATCACATCTGATTTAGTAAAAACGGAAGAATAGGTGGTTCGTACATTGTCTTTTTAATTTCTTACATGATTCTTTATCCATTTATGTAAATTCAGTGTAAGTTCCATTTCTTGATAAAAAAAAAAAGGCGGTTGTTTATGGTTCAAAAAGTCTACGATGTGTCGTGGGAAATTTTTTTTTAGATGTTGAAAATTCCTACGTTCATAATTGAATTTGATAAAATTTCGTGATTTCATATTTTCACATGTTCCCCAGGAAGCCTTTATACCAATACTTATTTCTCTTCCTAAAGTCTCTCTCTAGAGAGAGTATAAACTTCCAAAGAGAAGACTCGATTTTAAACCTATGGTTCCCTCTAAAGGAATAGTAGTGAAAATAAATGTCAAGTACATGTATAAACTTTGTTAGACTGTAACATTTTTAGCTTAGTAATGTTATGTACTTTTATGCCACCGTAAACGAAGTTTCAGAGGAATAAACTTTTTGCCCTATCCGTCCGTCTGTCAGTCTGTCGTTCTGTTATTCTATTTGTCCGCCAAAAATTTTAATATTGCCCATAACTTTTGAGTTGGTGGAGCTATAGCTAACATATTTCTCAGGTGTATTCTTTGTGACAAGACCTTTCTTTGGGTACCACCAAATTTGACCTCTTGAATTGACCTTTGAGTTTGACCTACTTTTACAAAAAAAACACACTTTTACATTGGCCATAACTTTGAAACAGTGAGTGCTAGGACTTCCATACTTCTCATACATACTCTGTGTGATAAGTCCTTTCATTGGATTTCAACAACTTTGACCCTTTTACCTTGACCTTGGTAGATTGAACTTCTTTTAAAAAAAAACTTTATCCTTCCCCATATTTTTAACGGTAAGGGCTGGTGTTTTAATACTTCACACATGTTATCCTTTTGAAAAAAAAAAAAACTTTTCCTAGGATATCAACAACTTTGATTTTTTGACCTTGACCTAGGAGTTTCACTTCCTTTTAAAAAACTTCAACCATGGCCATATATAATGAACGGTTGAAGCTAGGGTTTTCATACTTCAAATATGTAATTTTTGTGACAAGACCTTTCTTTACAAACCAATAACTTTGACCCTTTGACCTTGAATTAGGAGTTTGACCTACTTTTAAAAAAATTAACCTTGGCCATAACTTTTGAACGGTAAGGGCTAGGGCTTTCATACTTCAAATATGTAATCCTTGTAAGAAGGCCTTAGTTTGGGTACCAAATGCATTTGAGAAAGTTTAACCTTCGCTATGTTGCCATACGGGGGGATCAGTGTTTCAGAAACACGTCTTGCTGAGCTTTAATTCTTTTTATTTACATATTTTTTCAGTGGTGTGTGGACGGAGTGTGTGTACACGATGATCGAGCACCATAGCTTTACATATATTACATAAAAGTTTCGTTTTCAATTTAGCATATATACTTCTACAAGACTGTAATTCACATATTTCTTAATTTTGATGTCATTAGCTCAGGTAATCATAGATGTGTATATTGTAAACGTACTTGTTTTTAGCGGTAATACATTTTAAATAGCATCTTTCGTGATTTTGTGTTAAATTATTCCAATTTACGCTAATTAATATAATACGTCATGGTTTAAATAAAAACTCACGGTTTCACATATCAGCTGATGGGGAAAATTGCGCAAATGCAATCTACGTGAACAGTATCTACATACATGTAAATAAAATGCATAGTCATGTTAATTTAAGTACATAAATGACTCATTCATGGATATTATTATTATTATCATTTTTACGAACAGTCTGCAAAATTTATTAATGAATTTAAATGACATCATCACAGGACGTTATAGTCCGAAATATCTGACGTTTTCCTGGCTTTTTAATGATTTTGATATTTTACGTGCCAGGAAAACGTCAGAACCGGCGCCATTACGAGAACTGGAAATTTCACCGTCTTCAGCCGGAGCTGGTTTTCGATACTTGCGAATCGAAATAAATGCTGAATTCACAAATTATCAATAGCACAATGCTTCTTGTACTCATCAATATTGATGAAAAGAAAGCATCACTCCATATTTCGATACAGGTCGTGCATGATTTTAAAATGCACGAAATGAAAACAAAACTCGACAGTCTTATAAAATGTTTTCACCGGACTATATATTTTATAAACAAACCATAAAAACTAAGTTGATGAGTACTGAAGGCATTGTACTAATGATAAGTTGTGAATTCAGCATTAAATTCGGTTCGCAAGTATCGAAAATCAACCTGAGAGTGCCGCCTCCAGTTGGAGGCGGCAAATTCCCAGTTTTCGTAATGGCGCCGGTGCCGGTTCTGACGTTTTCCTGACACGTCAAGTATCAAAATCGTAAAAAAAAAAAAATCCTGGAAAACGTCAGGTATTTCAGAATAAGGACGTTATAGAAGCGTTGTGCTGATTGTACGGAAGCGTATTAGGGCCGCAGCAGTATCTTTTTTTAATTTGTTTAAACAAATTAATAATTTGTTTAAACAAATTAGTAATTTGTTTTAACAAATTATTAATTTGTTTAAACAAATTAGTAATTTGTTATAACAAATTAATAATTTGTTATAACAAATTACTAATTTGTTATAAAAGATTACTAATTTGTTATAACAGATTAATAATTTGTTATAACAAATTACTAATTTGATATAACAGATTACTAATTTGTTATAGCAGATTAATAATTTGATATAACAGATTAATAATTTGTTATAACAGATTATTAATTTGTTATAACAAATTACTAATTTGATATAACAGATTATTAATTTGATAAAACAAATTAGTAATTTGATAAAACAAATTACTATTTTTGAAAAAATTTGAAATGTATACAGATCTACGAAAGCCAGATCAAATCAAAAATCTTAGTAAAAGTCGGATTTCTGAAAAAAAAATGCAACTGTCAAAGTTTTGGGCCAATAATAAGGCTTTAGTTGGATTATTGAGAGCTTTTCCAGCAAGCTCTCTTTAATTATAAAAAAAAAATCACGTATACAAAAGAATTGAATGACACAATAGGTATTTAATATTAAATTTCACCAAGCGCTACCCACTCAAGAATATTGTGGGTTTTTTCTTTCATTTTCCGGGGAAAGTTGTTACGGAATGTATTTTTTCCTTAAAAATTTATCTGCAAAGTCTTTTTGGTCAATGTTGTCTTTGTTAATAACTGCTTTATACGACACCATGGAGGTTCACCACAGGAGCAGATCCAGGATTTTGTATATATGGACCCGGGATTTAGTTTCAAGATTTTTTTCTTTATACATGAATTGGGTTGAACAGTAGGCATAAATGACTGTCAAGCAGTATTCAAAGTAGCTAGATCATGTCACATGTAAAGATAGAATCCAGAGAGAGAGAGAGAGAGAACTAAAACAAAATACAAGTAAAACAATTTATATTGTAACATTCTGTTGCATACCTTAAATAAGATAATATTTCTCCTAGCATACGAATCGGGTGCTATTACCAAACAGAGTCGGAAGGGGGGGGGGGGGGGCCCGTACGGACAAAGTTTCATTAAAGCTTCTAAGAATAAGATATAAGAAATAGAATCAAGGACTTTGATGCAATTTATCATGACATTGATGTTTGAAGTGAAAACTCTGAGCTGCTGAAAGAAACTTATAGGTCAAAAGCTCTGCAGAGCGTGTGCTTATTGTTTCACAGATTCAATATTTTAAAGATTTCTGATCTGATAGAGATTCCATAGTTCTGTGTACATGTCAAATGTCCAAAAATAGTAATTTGTTATAACAGATTAATAATTTGTTATAACAAATTATAAATTTGTTATAACAAATTATGAATTTGTTATAACAAATTAGTAATTTGTTTTAACAAATTTATAATTTGTTATAACAAATTGATAATTTGTTATATCAAATTGATAATTTGTTAAATCATATTATTAATTTGTTTAATCAAATTACTAATCTGTTTTAACAAATTGATAATTTGTTATAACAAATTAGTAATCTGTTAAAACAAATTGATAATTTGTTATATCAAATTGATAATTTGTTAAAACAAATTATTAATTTGTTTAATCAAATTACTAATCTGTTTTAACAAATTGATAATTTCATTAATTTGTTATAACAAATAAGTAATTTGTTATAACAGATTAATAATTTGTTATAACAGATTAATAATTTGTTAAAACAAATTAATAAAAGGTACTGCTGCGGCCCTAATACGCTTCCGTATGATTGCCATAAAAATCCATTCAGTCAAAACTAAAAAATGACTAAAAAAAATTATAACGCCCGTCTTTTAGTGTTAAAAGTAACGCAATCAACAACCTCAATACTGTGCGCGACGACATGTATATATTGAATATTTATAATTTATTTTGAAAATTTCGTTTTGGTGTCAAGAAACTTCAATCTCGAAACTATAAATAAGCTTACATGGAAAAAATATCAGGCCCGAAGACCATAAACTTTAGTCAAAAATTATTTAATCAGTATATTTTTAGAAATAATTTTTCATAACATGCATAATGAAACGAAGTTTTCAACATGTATATGAATTTGTGTGTTGGTATACAATTTGATTTGTATGAACCTGCAAATTTTTATGCATCTATATTTCAAGAATAGAACTCAAGAAGTTAAAAATCAATACTTTGACATCATCTTTTTTCCGGCGAGGCTCTGTTTATGGCCCTGAAGCCAGGTTGACAACAATTTTTCATAGTTCTCAAGTTCCAAATTTGGGCAATTTTCTGTTTTACACACTAATTGTTAGAGAATTTGTCGACGGGTTTTTCCGCTATTTCCCGAACATGACGAGGAGCACACGACGGGTGTAACCGGTCAGCAGGGGATGTCAGCCCCTGATCCCACCTCTGATGTTTAAGATGTCTGTGTTTGCTACAGTATGTTAAAAAAATCATTTTCTTTAACAATGGACTTTTGAGCTTGAATACTAAACATTTGTTGTTTGAGTTCGAGGGCAATTGCAACATATGCATTTTGTCGGACCCAAGAAATAAACTGTCTGCCTGAGGCCGTCCGTTAGGCCGAGGGCAAACAGTTTGGTTCGATGATCGACAAAACGCATTTTGTCCGAGAACTCAGTCAATAAATGTTTGTTTTTTTTTTGTTATACCTTTCATTTTATTTTATTTTTTGACTTACATGTACATGTATTTTGCACTGTCTTCCGTGATGTAACATCAGGGGCTCGTTTTACAAGAGGACTTACGACTTAAGACCAATTATAATTCTTCATATAACGTTTTAATGATTCTTTTTAATTTAATCAATATTTTTTTATGTAAGTAAGATTACATAATTGAATTGGACATCAGGCATGGCCTATATATAAGTCCTCTCCAAGGTCAAGGTTACAAATGTTAAGAATTGACAATGATTTACAATGATGAAAAAATTTCCTTATAAGTTACATTAATTTCTTTTGTTATCTAAGGTGGGAAAAAGAAAAAAAAAGAATGAATCCAATTAAATTGTACAGAAGCGTTATTACTAAGTACGTATACATGGTATACTCGCTATACAATATAATGACAAAAAAATAAAAAAAAAGTGCAAACAAACAGCAAAACAGAGTAAGTAAACAACTAAAGTGCAAAGAACAAATATGTAAAGAAAATACAAAACAGAAGGAAATAGTAACATTAAAAAATAAATAAATTTTAATCAAGCAATAACACTGAGTAAAGGAAAAAATGATAAAGTGCAAAGACAAATTTCCATGGAAAAATACTACATATACATTGAACATGGAAATGCTGAGACTTGAAGTAAATAGAAATATGAGAAATATCTGGATTATTTTATTTATTTATCTATTTTAACTTAATTACAAAATACTATCAAAATCTTTTTGAAGACTTGATGTACAGTTGGACTGCTTCAAAAATTGAACAGTTTATTTTATAAGGTAATTGCCTATCACCAAATAGCAAAGTATTCAAAATTTGATCAGGAGACATAACGTTTTAATAAACCTAATATCAAAAATTATTTTAAACTTTTTTAAAAGAATGTGGTAAGATATTTTTACACAAACAATTTCAAAGATAAATATTAATTTTGCAAAATTTTACAATAATCTTAAGTTTTTGGTCTTAGTCGTAAGTTCTTTTGTAAAACGGGCCCCTGGTCCGTTACTGTTATACAGCAACGAATGAAATGAGATTAAGCTCCGCCCATTTTGTGACATAAGCGGTCCAACATCTCACTCAGCAGTCAAACATCGATTTTTTTATGCCCGCTCAGCAAAAGATAAGAAATGTTAGATTTTTTTGTATAGCTTTGTATATGAACAAAATTTTAAAGATTTAACTATTCTACAACCTCCCTTTTTTGTATTTATTTGTATTTATTTATGATGAAGAGCAAATTTTCAAAACTCTTTCCCTTAATCAGAATTAACTTCATCACCATTTTTAATATCGTGCCTTGTAGAGTTTAGGCTTTCCCCTCTACCCTCCCCCCTCAGCTGAACAGTACCCCCCCCCCCCCCCGAACCATTGGCGGATACAGAATTTGTGATTAGGGGGTGGATAACTTCGATCAGGCAGGGGTCTGAGGGCTGCCTTAAGGCTCCCAGTGGGACCAGGGCAAAGTCCTGGCGGGGGCCTGGGGGGTGAAGCCCCTAGAAGCTCCAGGGTTTTCATGTATTTTAAGAGTAAAATCAGGCACAAAAATAGTGGTATCGCTTAGTTATGTACACTATGATATTTCACATTTTAAAGGATTAGAAAAAAAATATGATAATATTTGAAAAATAGCATTTTTTACATATACAAGAAGGTTTTCAAACTTGATTTTTAATAAAAGCGATACTTGGGTCATTAAAGAGAATTATTTGCCATTTATTATTTGACCATTAATTAAAAAACCAAAGTATGGCATTATCAATAGAAGTCATGTCGTACTTTGAAATTTTTTTTTTTTGGGGGGGGGGGGGGGGGGGTGCTGCGCGCCCCCTCAGTCGCCCTTGAGCAATTGAAAGGAGGTTGTAAAATGCATCTTATAGGTTCTAAACACATGATAGATTATTTTGGCAGTGTATAGATATTCTGACGATTTTAAAGAAATTATTGTTCAGTTGATTAAAAAAAAAAAAATCTTTGTCTCGAAGAATTTTACGTACGACTGAACAAAATTAGAACTCTTTTGTAAAGAAAACAACATTTGTTGATTTGGCGCGCTAGTTAGAATTTGTTCATATTTTACTGAGCGAAAAATGGCAGACTTGGACGAGGTTGATGGAGTCAGTGATGAGGAAGTTGAAGCAATGACAGCCGGTCAAGTACTTCAGAAACTTGAGGAGGTATGACTTAAATACTTCCTTTTAATTTTTCCGATCGTGATGAACCTGCGTTTGACCACGAAAATCAAATGCAAGAAAATAAAAAAAAAAAGATTAAAATACGACATGAAGTAGATTAGATATCACTTTAAAGTCGTGATTTATCTATATTTTTTTTTTTACATGATTCATATTTTAGTCTGAAATATTTAGTGTATCCACTGTCCACAGAGGCCCAGTCATTTGTGAAATGTTAATACAGTTACTATAGCAGGTTGGGACCAATCGCCCAAATGGGATAAAATAGTCCGTTTGGGATATAATATCCCATATGGGCTATAAATTTACAGTGCAAAAATTGAAAAATTTTATTTTGGCTATAAATATCATAAATCCGCATCAGGACACTTAAAAAAGAATAACTTAGTTGACAAGTTTTCCTGTATGCCCATTGTTTAGGAGATTGATCACTCGGAAGTTCCTAAACTTCTTGGGGATCAATCTTACAAACTGTAGGGTTGCAGAAAAACTTTCTTACCAAAAGTTATTCCTTTTTAAGTGTTTTGATGCAGATTTATGATATTGATTGCCAAAATAAAAATTTTCAATTTTTGCACTGTAAATTTATAGCCCATTTGGGATATTATATCCCAAATGGACTATTATATTGGGTGATTGATATTATATCAGTATATTTGCCAAAATAAAAATTTTCAATTTTTGCACTGTAACATTTATAGCCCATTTGGGATATTATATTTTAAGATCCCAAATGGAGAAAACTATTATATCTCACTTTGGGTGACTGTTGATAAACCAATTTATTAACTAACACTATTATGTATAGATTCTGTATCAAAATAAAGCAGAGACTATATATATATTTGACATTCTTTGAAAATACAATACATCAATAAAATTTCATAAGGGGGATGGGGCTGTAAGTATAGGATAGCTTATTTCTAACCATCTAACAGTTTATGGAAAATTTGGCCCTTTATTTATTATCATAAATACAAGTCTAACTTCTGGATAATTACTTTTAACGCAATTTTATTATTTTAACTAATTAAAACTAATTTTAAGAAAAATATAATTTTAAATGAAAGGTCTAAAACGCAAAAATCTACTTTCGAATTTCAAGAAAACAATAGTTTAAAGAGCTTGGTTCACTTTATGCATAAAACGGCACTGTTGATAAACCAATTTATTAACTAACACTATAGATTCCATTTTAAACATCAAATTAAAGCAGAGACTTAGTAGTATATATATATTACTTTCATTTCCTATTAAAAAAATTTTCCATAAGCTCCAGGTCTTGTAACACCGGCTTTATTGAATTGCAATGTTCTTGAATTTTAGTGTAAACAGGTTAATTTGACTACTTTCATATAAGAAAAATAATATGACTATGAGCACACCCTCTGATCTAAAAAATAAAACATGTCTTGTAATCCTCAGAAACAGTTCTATTATTTACTAGTTGCTAATTTTACATCAGAGGTTGCGCTCTATATTAAATATTGTGTGACAGTTTTGGTTTTTACTGTACATTTGATTTGAAAAATAGCTTCCAAAATTGGCTGTTTTTGTAGACTTTTTCAGAAAATGATGAAATTGATGCATTTTGTGATAGCATTGACTAGCAAGAAAATCATGTCATTTTTTTATAGACATGCCATAACCAAAGGTCTAAATGATATATTTAATGCATTGTTAACTGAAATTAAGCAGTTTCAGTTTTGCAGAAATTCACAGGGCCAAAAAAGGACATAAGTGAACCTTCTTCTTAAAGATCTGGAACACAAATATCTTAAAAACCATTGATATGTCAAAGTGATTTAGAAATTTTAACCACTTATTTCTTATTTAAAGTGTTTTATCCTCGTTAATTGTCTCAAATCCTGGAATATCTCTGTATTTTTCTAGGCCTCATCAAGTTTGAAAATAGAGGTTATGGCTGTACTGTGGCATATTATATCTTTAATTTTCTTGTTTATGAAAAGAAAATAAATATTTTATAACTGTTTGATTATATATATTTTAGTTTATGATTTTGTTTTAATTAGGCTTGGTTGAATGAAAAATTTTCTCCTGAACTGCTGGAGTCTAAAACAGATTTAGTAGACTGCATGCTAGAGCAAGTTACTGAAATGGAAGAAAACATCAAGAGAGCAAAGAAGGGGGATTTCAAAGTAGTGCTGCATAGAATGGAGGTAATTGTCACTCTATAAATATTCAAATTTGTCTGGACAATCGGGATGAAATTTTATTTTTTTTTAAAATGATTTTTCAAAAATTACTCAAAAGATTACTAATTTTGACCACAAAAGTTTGATACATGTAGTGTTGTACTGAACTGAGTAAAAAGTGTTTCCATAGTTATAAGAGTTGATATTTAATTGAATTGAAAAAAAAAAAAAAAAAAAAAAAAAAATCAGTCGTGTACTTACATGAAGAGCTCCCGAGGCTCTGTTGACATTTGTCCAAAAATTGATGTTTTATTATTTTCCAAATCTAATAAATTATAATCTTGGTGAACTATTAAAACTAATGGCATGAATTCAAAGATAACTATTAAATGCTTCAATCTGTCAGGCTTATTTGAGTTATCTCTCTTTACCTGTAAACAGTTTCCAAAAGAAACTGTTATTTTAATATTTTTCTAGTAATTCACTTTGGATTTACATGCAGTAGATATGAGAAACTTAATTAAACCCCCTGCAAACAAAGTTTGGGGGTTATATAGGAATAACCTTGTCCTGCTGTCCAGCTGTCTGTGCAAATGTGTCCGGTCCATATCTTTTTTACGGAGGAACACTAGAATTTTATACATTGTACTTCACACAAAGATTGCTTATTGCCTGAGGGTGTGTCTTGAACTTGACCCAAGGTCATTTGGGCAAGTTCAAGGTCACTGAAAGAAAAAATTCATATTTCGTGTCCCATCCATATCTTTCTTATGGATAAAGTTGGTTAGTTCCTAATTAACACAAAGATTGCTTATAAGTTCAAGGTCCAACATTGAAAGAAAAAGTGCATAAATTGTTCCTGGTGCATATTTCTAGCAGTATTGATTTTTTTGAGTTCCTATTTTACACAAATTGTTTATGACCTGAGGGTGTGTCATGACCTTGATTCAAGGTATTTTGGGCAATTTCAAGGTCACTAAGGTGCATATTTTTAGTATATTTTTTTTATTAAGCTACACCTTAGTTTCATTCATTAAAAAATATAAAGAGCTATTATATTTTTACTCTAAATGTTTCAGCAAATTGTGAACACCTTTTACATAATCTGAAAACCTGGCTGGGGGTATTTGTCCCTTTTGGACAGTTCTTGTTCAAACTTAACTCAATATTTTTATTTTACTTTATTCAATGACTTATTCAGTTTTAAATAACATAAAGTATAAAAATTGTATTTTGCACTTTGTGTTTATTTAAATGACCTTCTCTTGTTTTCAGATAGACAGAATTAGATATGTCCTTAGCAGTTATCTCAGATGCAGACTGAAGAAGGTATTTATAGCAGAACACAAGTTTCAGCTGCTTTAGAGGAGGACAAACCAGATTTGCTTTAATAAACAGACTTAGATATCAGATGTTTTGCATCTCAGTGTAATAATTCTATGAAGATTAAACACACATTGGGCCTAGAATAAATACTTGTTCGTTTGGCAATGTTTGCAGTTGCATACCAAACTATTAAATTGCACCTGACCCAAACATTTTTCCAGCCATGTTTTTAGGTGATTTTTGCATTTTTACTTCAGGATATTGCAACTGTTTCATTTTCAATTTTGATATTTTCCCCCTCAATCAGTCTCTTTAAATAAGTGGAGCTTATTTACATTTTTAATCTCTCTATAAAAAAATTTCTATGATTTGTTATTCAGCAAAATCAAGAAAAAATGATTTTTTTTTTAAAGACAAACATGTTTTTGTTTGTTTCCTTTTTTATAAGACCCACTCTGAAAATTATAGCAGCTGCAAAAAGCAGTGCTTTAATTAAGGTAAGCCTAAAGATATATGCATATTAACATGGAATTTTGCTTCCAGATTGAGAGTTTCACTAACCATATCTTGGAGCAGGAGAGTAACAGACAAGAAGAAGATGTTTGCCATCTTTCTCCAGAGGAATTCACATTTGCGAAAGAGTTACTCTTCTTCACTGTTTTTTATTATCCATATTAATGTCACTTTCCAGAGGCACTTTTATATAAAAATTAAACAACATGAAGATTTCTTTAAAAAAAATTCATTTCAATTGTATCATGGAGACAAAATATCTATACAATACACAAAATAAATATATAAATCAAACACAAAGTTTTGTGTGACCTTTCAGCTAATTTAGAAATTTGATGCTGTTCTTTTGCCACAGTTCTCAAAAGTTTGATATATTTTTAACATTTCTATGTATCTGATAAGGCTTGTTCAGATGTATTACATAACATAAAGACATTCCATTGAAAGTGAAACTTTCCTAGCCCATTTGGTGTAGAATTTTACAGTCCTACCTTACCATTTATTTCATTGTAGATGAGCTAAGATGATTTTTGCATTTTTGAGTATAGCAATAAAAAGTGATTTACTTGATATGTTTCTTTTTCGGTAGATATGCAGCTACTATGGAAACACATATGAAGAATTTGGTTCTACGGCACATGCCACCTAATCTGCAGGCCATGGATCCAAAGCAAACTAGTAATGTTACTATATTTAATTTGATTTGGGATGATGCTTTAGTATAAGGCCAAGCTTCCAAAAGACCGAGTTATTTGTTAAAAAATAAAGCATACTTAATTATACCCCCGCTCCGAAGGAGAGGGAGGTATACTGTTTTACTCTTGTGTGTCTGTCTGTCTGTGTGTCCGTCCGAAACAAATTTTTGTCGCAGTTTTCTCAGCAACTACTCATCGTAGATGCTTGAAATTTTAACACAATCTTCTCTCAGGCATGCCATATGGTGGGATACATTTTTGCTGAAATTCGATTTCAACTTCCTGATTGTCTGTGAGTCTGTCCGTTTCATACATAACAAATTTTCGTCGCAGTTTTCTCAGCAACTACTCATGGTAGATGCTTGAAATTTTAACACAATCTTTTCTGAGACATGCCATATGGTGGGATACATTTTTGTTTAGATCCGATATCAACTTCCTGTTTGTCTGTGGGTCTGTCCGTTTCATTCATAACAAAATTTTGTCGCAGTTTTCTCAGCAACTACTCATCGCAGATGCTTGAAATCTTAACACAATCTTCTCTGAGGCATTCCATGTGGTGGGATACATTTTTGTTCAAATCTGATGTCAACTTCCTGTTTGTCTGTGCATTTCATACATAACAAATCTTCGTTGCAGTTTTCTCATTAGCTATTCATAGCAGATGCTTGAAATTTTATTACACTCTGTGGTTAGGCATGCTATATGGTGGGATTAATTTTGATATGAATCTGATGTCAAATTCATATTTTTTTTGTGCATCTGCCTGTAATTGAACTTGTGTATATTAACCTGATATTGCTTATTTACGTCAGAGCGGGGTATTACTAGTGAGCATTGGCTCACAGATTTCTTGTTTGTCTTTTAATTAAGCTTTTTCAATCTGAATGTTGAAGTTAACAGTATTTTCCCTAAGAACCAGATACCTTCCAAAGTGACGGCTTCAATCGATGGCTTTGACTTAAAAATACTGTAGATGTAGTTTTCTCCATGGGGTCAAAATTCCGCGGAATCTCTGTTTCCTTTTAATCTGCGGCTAGAAAATTACGCGGATTTCATGGATTCTCACTATGTGCCTTACATGTATATTGAGTCCGATGGGACAAATTTCCGCGGAAAGTTTGTGACCGCGTACATAGCGTAAATTAATACCACGCGGAAGAATGTACTTCTACAGTAATCAAAATTGAAATGTTTAAGGTCCACAGAGATTTGTCATGAACTTCAATTCAAAGCCTCAGGTTTGTACAGTTGATCTCTTTACTTTGAAATAAAGGGAGATCACTGAGTAAATATTTAAATTATATACATTTTTTTGCAGCAATTCGGCCGAATCTTGATAGTTACGTGTTTCTGCGGGTGAATGAAGATACTGATGGAGTTCTAGTGGAGGAAGAGACACTAGATACAGGGTATAGCATGATTATTAATAACAGCTTCCATTGATATGCTGGCTTAGATTAGGGTTGTGGCTAATTGCTGTGAACAAATACATCAGTCTTGTAAAAGTATACTGCATTCATAGCAGAGTACAGTATTGTACTTATAATTATAACGTTATAGAATCACTGTCTAGTCCGTGTGCCAGGACAAAAATGACAGAAATGTGGGATAATTTGCATAAGGGTGGAGCTTGTTTTGCATAAATTGTCCTGCATTTTCATTTGTCATTAATGTCCTTGGAATATCCAACATACTAGACATTGACTTTTTATATTTACATTTATTTGTGAAATGAAAATGTAAATATATATCAAAATGATGTGTAGATCAGAGTGCATTGAAATGCACAAAACATTTGATTAGCAAACTTTACTTTCTAAGGGTAATCAGAGAAAGAGAACGTTGGAAATGTAAATATTTGAAATGTTGAAAGTTGATGTAGCTAAACATAGAAAAAAAAATTCTTGAGGATGAAACATGTTTTGAATTAAAAGTTAGTCTTATTTTTAATACTTTTGAATGTTAATTTGTTCTTTACAGAGAGGAGATAGTGGATTTACAGAAGGATGATCAGCACATAATGAGGTATAAACCACTGTCTGCCCTTGTCACGTCGGGAGCGGTGACATTGATCTGACTTGTACATCACAACTGCTACCATCCATAGTGCTGAAGAATTGTGTACGTACTTACTGTGATATTTAGAGTACTTCTCTGGCATGCCATGGATTCTTATTGTGGGAAACGATGCCAAGGTAGTTTTACTTCAGTGGAAGATCGAGATTAAATTCTAGACAGACAAACATGTGCCTCACAGTTTGGTGTTTGAAAACAGGGACCTTATGGTATTGTATTGTTTTGTACAATTTAAATGTACTAAACTGTAGAGTATTGTACTGTGCACTGTTGTCCAGAAATGAGGACTTTTGTCTGGAAATAAGGAAATGGAAAGTCACCTACATTGATAGCTGTTATACAGTAAATCAGGAAATGAGTATGCAATGTATATTTAACTACTAAATATTGAACTAAAATATTTATTTACAGAAAATAGTTGTCTCAAAGGTGTATAGAAACAAAAAAAAATTATAAAGAGTAGTAAAAGTTGAAGCATTTCTGCGTAAATTATAGAGTTTATATGTATAGAATAAATAATAATGTGCATGTATTGTGTGTAGAATAAATAATAATGTGCTGGTACATATTGCATCTATCAAAGTACACCGATATTTTTAAGGTAAAGACTTGAGCATAGATTTACGAAAATTAATAATATATACTGGCAAACACCACTCTGACAAAATGTCAAAGAGGGAATAACTCCTGCAGACTTGCCTTCTTTTTCTTGGTTCTGATGTATGAATTTTACCTTTTTTGTGTAGAAGTAAATTGACCCTGAGGTACTGGTGTAGTGTAGTAGCAAGTCCATTTGCCTCTAATAATAAAATTCTGAGAGCTTCTCCATGTGTGTTCATTTGACCAATCTATCTCTCGAACTTTTTATCTGATGCATGTATTAGTCCCTTCCAGGCCAGTTTTCACTTCCACAATTATCATTGTAACCTACCTTTAGTCACAACAAATGCTCACAGTCTTTAATTAGTCATTAAAAATGAAATCATGGATTGAAAAAAGAAAAAGGTAGAAAAAAATATTACTAAAACCATAGAAAAGTTTCTTAAATGTTTGTTTTCTTAGCAGAGTTTAATGATTAGAATGAAATTGATCAAAGAAATCAAATTTTAAGAATCAAGCAGAAATTAAGATTTATAAAAGATGTTCCTGTTTAATAAGTAAGTAATTGTAAGTAATATTTCCAATGTCAGGAAAATAGAGCCAAGACACGTGTGAACATTTTAATCAAGGGAAAGAAAAACTTGAAAAGACCTCCTTATACAAAGCTTTAATTATCCCAAATTTGGCATGTATGCTTCACAAATAAGTCTCTGAAATAAAGACAATGTCATACTTGGTGTGTATTAAAGATGCAACAAGCATGTTTCTCTGTTAAGTCTGTTTTTCCCAGTAAATATCGGTTAATAATTTTATCTGATCCCTCTAATAGAAAATTTGAATTGGGCCCAAAACTTTTTAAATCTCTCTATATTCTATCCCTTGAGAGACTGAACGCCATTAAACAAATGGTGTAGGACTGATTGACACAGTTTTTATGCAGCGTATAAAGCCTTCACTTTGATTAGTTGTCTCAAGGTCACAGCTTCAGTGAATTGTAGGTCTAACCAATGGAAATTGAGGCTTTTCACAGGACTATTTATATTATTTTAGTCACGTTTGATGTATTATTGCTTACTAAGGTTGCAGTCATTTAGAAAACAGAAGTAAAAAGTGACAAAAGGGAAATATTAGATTGTTGTTGTTTGTGAGGGAACTGCCTGTATTAGTTTAAAACTGTGACATTAAAAATATTATACATACAAAAATCTTTATGCAGCCAAAAATTATTTATGCAAAAAGTAATAAAATTGTTTAATTAGGTTGGGTTTATAAACCAAAGTCTCTCCTTATCTTCCTTCATTATTTGTTAACCTTTCACCATTAAATTGTGTGAATAGCCTGATTTGTGAATGAACTTGTGACAGGGGATTTGCACAAAGATTTTAATTGTGATGATAAAGAAAATGTTCCTTAAAAAAGAAATTAGAGAAGTTAGGAAATATTTATCGCTAATTACGAAAATTACTCAGTACCGTCCAAGATTTTTGTTGTTGCCCTTTTTAAAGAAAAGACTAATTTCGCCCAAGTTTCACATCTTTGTCATCATAACACGTAATTGCTCCAAGGTGATCAGTATTCCAGAAATTATGAAGAAAATAAAATCTTTTAGAACTTCTTAAGAACAGCAGGATTATGATTAGTTATTTTACACAGGCACTTGACGTTACTTATTTTTCTTTTAATAGAAAAAAATATACCCCATACCTAATAATAAAATGTATTTTTAGGTAGGGGATATATTTTTTATTAAAAGAAAAATAAGTAACGTCAAGTGCCTGCGTTATGTTATTTTGATATCAAAATATCACCTGGTGGTGCAGATTTAAGTATGCAGAAATCATGGAGCCAGGATCAAGCTGTGCAAAATGCAAATATGCACTAAAGTTTTCTCCGGAACAGAAAGACCATGTTTATCACATACTATATAGGTCCTGATCAAATTGATATTGAAGCATCCCTATGATGTTTAAATTCCACGTTGGAAAACTTTGGAACTAGGAAAAGTGAAAATTTGTAATTGAAATAACAAGAAAAAAATCCGAGAAGATTTTAGGAATAAAGTTACACAAGAGAGCGGTGTGCCACATGTGATTCTTGATTCCTGAATGATTTAACCATGGCGTGTTTCACGCATGTCCGATTCCGAAGGACGAAAAAACTGTACGTGTACGCATTGACGCGAACCGTCCTTGATATAAACTGTACTATAAAATCTAATGACCTTACGTCCAGGTTAACTGACCGGAGTTGGACACTCATAAAAGTGGGTCAAACATGCGACGGCACTAAAGAGGCCAGGTGAACAGATTTAATCTGGCAGTCTTTGTATTTCTTCGAAAAGGAACTTAAGGTACAAAAAGGTTAGACAGAGAGGGGGAGAATTTCAAGTTTTTCTCATAATACTAGTATCATTCTTATATTGTCTAGGTTCTTAATTTCAAAAACGGGATTCAAATTCCCTATAGGCTCTCCTGAGCTTCACATGGGGAATTATGTGTCGAGGTTCTGTTATTTTTTTTTTTACTATCATAAAGTAAGAAATTACGGAGTGATGGCAAGGAGGCTTATACAGACAACATATTGTGATTCATATTTACAAGTGAAGGCATTCTGTGTTGATTTCCTACCATCCCCAACCTATAATTTTATATACACTATTTCTCCATAAAACAAATTTTATATACACTATTTCTACATAAAACAAATTTTATATACACTATTTCTCCATAAAACACAGTGTCCGAATGAAGAACGAGATAATGATTCAATACCGATCGGTGCGGAATCTTGTTCCTATTTCTTTGTACATGTACTTGATCTCTGCAGCATACTGTCTGATGGCCTTGACAAAGAATCACCTGAAATGAGTCAGTCTACACACCTGGTGTCTCCTGAGTCATTACATGTTATGTCTACATCGGAGACACATGTCCATTGTTATCTTTATATCTATCTAAAATCAAAAAAATTAGCCGGATAAAAATGTATTTTATTGCAATGCAGAAAAAGTCCATAATCGCATGTAGAAGATTTAGCTGTCAAGAATCTTACATGTACCAAGGACTTGTATTTTATGTTAACAAGTAGGCCTACAACATGCAACGCAAAAATTGACCAAAACAATCAGTAAATATTCTATTATTTTAATAACCATCCCACTGCAAGAAGTGAATACCGGATGAGACCAATAAACCGACTTCCTGTGTCGCAGTAGGTGCTGGCAACGGAAAAGAAGTCGATGGCCTTGCATATCGTTTACAGAACTAAATTTGCAACCCACCACTGGAGAGTGGTGGTTGCTCATCGATAAAAATGAAAAATTTTTCGAAAGGACGTTTAACAGTCAAAAACCAAACAAACAATTATCATATCACGAACCCTTATTATAGGTAAGATAGCACAATGACACACGTTTTTTTTTTTTAATATTAAATAAAACCTACTACACGAAGGGGTACATGTGTTGAAAATAACATTTTAAATATATACAATGAAAAAAATCTAATAACACGGTAACCAGACGCCATTTCTTATAACAGCAAGAAGTTCCACTTGGTTTGTGTGATCGGAGTTTGGCGTAGACTATCGGTATCTGGCGCAGGCCATCGGGTTTGGCGTGACCATCTGACTAGTGAAGTCTCTTGGCACTTTGTTCTACATATGTATCTAAAACTTTCCCTTTACAATCAAATTACCAGTATGCATCCTTAAGACCACATATCAGTAAACCTATCATAATTGTAAATTGATTTTACTGCGCAGAAATGAAAATAAACTCAATTCACTGCAGTTCTTCAATTTGGAGACCTGCCGGTGCTCTCAAGCTGAATGAATACACAACAGAAGCGCCTCTGACAAGAGCACTAGACCTCCTCCAATGTTGCAAGCTAAGAGGAAGGCAGACAACGAGAGATCAAGTCTGAATCTCAGCACGGCACATAGTCGAGTAGTCAAGTTGTTAGATCAAAGAGATCTGTGTTACCCTACCATGTCATTGTACACTTAGTTTGAAACTCTACAACAGAACAGTGTAGTGGATTCGCGTAATTTCTGCATGGTGCAGTCGTACAGACACCACCAGATAATAGTATTAATCACTGCTTAATAATCAGAAGGCGTAATATGTACCTTTTTAAAAATAGACAACATTAAAACTGAAATATATATACAATTTGCAGTTTTAAGACCGATAGATTACTGTAGTTTAATCATCAAATATTCTGACATGATTGTCAAGAGAAACGTATTTATAATATCACAACCTAAACCACACAAGATGCGCCCAGAACATCCAAAATTTTTTATAAGTTATAAGACAATTTAAAATTATTGAATTATCTAAAATGCTGAATATTGCATTAATGATATATATACCGGTATTTCATCATTTCAAATAAAACAGTCCAATACTGTTTCGTACGCTGCCTGGAAACCGGAAGGTAGGGTCGTTTATAGTCTGACTTGTTCAAGGTTTGTCTCGCAATAGAAGTCGTCCTTTATTGTACTTGAAAAATCACACCACTCTGAAGCCTTGCAAAACAAGCATATCCTCTGTTGTACTTGAAAAATTATAGCAGACTGGATTATACATTACTGCAAGTAGGCAGCGTATGAACGAAAAACAAAGTTTTCTTGAAGTTGATTCATCAGTATTGCTAGTGCATGAATATTATTACTGTTAATAAAAGAATAATAAGCATCAGAATCACGATCTTGATATGCTTTCTTTGTAGGAGGGGAAAATTGCGTACATAATGTGACATGTATAACTATTAAGATATAATGATACTTTGATGCTGTATGAAGTAGTACATGTAGTATTTTGTGTAATTTTATAGGTTGAGGAACTTTAAGGACAACAGCAGTTCATATAACAACTAAGGAAATATATTACGAAGCCCTTTAATCATGTTTTCTGATTGAGCAAAATACGTAGATATCAAATTATTATCCTTTAAATGATAACCGCACTTCTATACGGTTTCAAGATGTTCACCAAGTCCATAAAATAGAAAATCTTTATTATAATCACAAGGATGTCTTAAAATGCAATGGATAGGTCGTTACCTTAAACGTACGAAAGAAACCCTACTGTTTTATAAAAAAAAAAAATATATATATATATAGGTACATGTACCTATAGTTATACATTTAACCTAGGAAATAATTGTTTTTAAATATATAGGTATCTACAGTGATATCTTTGATATACTATTGATTACATA